TATATATATATAAAACGTCATTATGAATAATTCACTTGCAGAATTTAAAACTTGATTTTACTTTTTAGGATTTCAACCACAGACTAACACATTTTGCATATATAATGCTAATAATTTTTTCAAAAGTTTTTAAAGTAGGGTTTTGCCAACAACAGTAACAAAAATCCTGGATCTGTTCAAATAGAGCTGTTTACTTCGTGTTGTGATTTAGTGTCAAGAGAGTTTTTTCCCTCAATAAGGCTGACAAAGAGCACTGCAGTCTTGATATCAATTTAGGTTATAGTGACAACTATGTCTGCCCTCTGACCAACTAACATACTTACTGTCTAAAGTGTTGCTGCCAGTTTTCGTTCCTCCTTGTCTTGTGTCCTCTTCTTCTTCTTCTTCCTCCTCCTCCATAACCCCCTCATCATCATCATCATCGTCATCTTCTCTTCTATCCCATTCTTCCTCAGAAGTCTCTCTGGAAGCTTTCTTCTTTTTCTTGTGGTGGGTTAATTGTCGATATATACAAGCCCCTGTGGACTGGAACCTTGGGTCAAGCGATAGCGGCAGATGTGTTGAAGACTTCTCTGTATCTTTGTGTGCGCTGCGTAGATCCATTGCGTAAATGTTTCTCTTCAAGAGAGCAATATGTGGATAGACAATGGATTATTATTAATAACTAAAAAATTATATATATATTTTAGTTAATTTAAATAAAGCTGAAATAAAACAAGTATTAGAGAGAAAACTTATTTCACTTAGAAGTCAAGGCAAAATTCTAATTTTCATTTAGTTTAACTGGAAATAAAAACTACAACTGTACTAAAATTAAAACTGAAATGAAAATAAATTAGACCTAAGTAGTAATATATTAAAAATACAAAAAAAATTATAATAAAAATGGCAAAAATGCATTTTTGACAAATTAAAAAATTACCACAAATTTTTATAAAATTAAAATGAAAAAATAAAGATTAATTCAAAATATGAATGAAAACTATAATAGTATATAAATAATACTAAAATAAGTGGATGGACAAGATTTGAATAATAATTTAGCAGGGAAACCATCACAGTAATTAAGATGCTGTAGTGGTCATTACCTGCATGAAGAGTCTTTTCGGTTTTGGGCCTCTTTTACGCCACCTCACTGACCTTTCTCTCTGTTCTCTGTTTGCAATTAGAAATAATGAGAAAATGCGGTGTGGATGATTTCATGTACTAGTGACTGAAAGTGAAAGAATGAAGGAAGTTTCATTTTTATAACTGCTCACTTTTCCTCATACGTTAAAACCAGTCGAGGGTCTAGAATGTGCTCCTCAGGCTCCCATGTGCTGTACCTTTAATGTCATTAAAACATATACATATTTATTGACATGACGTGCAAATAAATAAACAAAACATCTTAGCCGCTAGAGTAATAATTGTAAAACTACCAGGAAATAAAAGGATTAAGAAATTTTGAAATTAATCTTATTCTCCAATTTTCCTTAATAATAATAATAATAATAATAATAATAATAATAATACTTACTTGGGAGGCCACCCCTTCCACTTCAATAAATATTCGACATGACCCTTAAACATTAGAACAAAAAGAAAAAATAGATATAAACCAATATTGCATTTATATTTTAAGTACGTTTTTTTTTTTTTCGATTACACATTTCTTCTGAATGTTTTGTTTTTGTCTTGTACGTGTGCGATGACGTAATGACAAGGTTTCGTAATAAAAGAATTAAGGAGGGACGACCCCTAAACTAACAGCTCCTCCTTTCTATTTCAATCCGGACATTTCATGAGACCAAAAGTAACGCTCATTCAACGAGCGTTATTTTAAGCTAACCGCATGTTTTAATTTTACTTAAAAGTAACTGAGAGCCACGTCCGCTCGCACCAATAACCTCAAATGCCGTTTTAAGATAAAAAAATAAACCTCAGCGGCTGTATCTAAATGGCCAAACTTTACGTTAGTTATTAGACCCCACCGGGAAATAAAACTGCGTAGTCTCCATGACTACGAATAGGCTCGCCGCCCTGCGACATGCGTCATCATCGAAGTTATTAGACTACAAACACACTTCCACGCTGTTGTTGTAAGTGTGTCCTCGCCCCTCTAACATGTTGTATGTGTGCAGCGGGATTACACAGATTGAACTGTCCGTAAACACGCAGCTAGCTACACGCGCATGTCACTTACCTTTCGAACTCTTTTCTTTATGATTGATTCCACAGCGAACACTTGCTCACCGATTGCCGACAGTTCCATCAGTTAAGTTGTTCCCCTAAAAATAATGAAGTAGCTGTCAATGTCTCTTTGTGCTTTTCCTTCTGGTCGTTAAAGTAACTATGAATTGCAAATCCCATGCACTGTTATAGAATGGCTGCACACGTTCCCGCTCTTCCGCTGCCTTGTTTACAATTCAGTATTTTATGCTTTGCACTGCTCCATTTCCTTGTACTAGATGAGTAGTGACTTTTTAAATCTGCGACACATCTGCAGCGCTCAGCGCGCCCCCGTGCGCCACACAGAGCCGATTGCCGACAGTTCCATCAGTTAAGTTGTTCCCCTAAAAATAATGAAGTAGCTGTCAATGTATCTTTGTGCTTTTCCTTCTGGTCGTTAAAGTAACTATGAATTGCAAATCCCATGCACTGTTATAGAATGGCTGCACACGTTCCCGCTCTTCCGCTGCCTTGTTTACAATTCAGTATTTTATGCTTTGCACTGCTCCATTTCCTTGTACTAGATGAGTAGTGACTTTTTAAATCTGCGACACATCTGCAGCGCTCAGCGCGCCCCCGTGCGCCACACAGAGGATTGACTTGCGCCACTGTTGGTCGGATTAACAACTAGCATATAGATTACAAAAATACTATCTTTTTTAAAGGTAAACTAGCATAGCATGACAAATACATAGGAAAAATATTTAAAAAAGAAATGCCACATTTGTATTCATTTATTTAAAAACAAAAGCAACAACAATAAAAAAAAAAAAAGATGAATGCAACTCATACAATGTTAGAATACACCTCTTCTTTGCTAAGCAGGTTTTTAATTTCTGAAAATTATAAAATAAAAAAAATATAAAATTAAAAGGATAGCCCACCTAAAAATGAAAATTCCTTCATTTACTGACACTGACCAAACTTGTATGACTTTCTTCTGTGGAACATAAAAGAAGATATTTTGCAGAAGGCTGGTAACCAAACAGTTTCAGTTCCCATTGACTTTTATTGTATTTCTTGTCTATACAATGGAAGTGAATGGGAACCAAAACTGTTTGCTTACCAAAATGTTACAAACATCTTCATTTGTGTTCTGCAGATGAAAGAAATGCATAGAGGTTTGGAATGACATGTATGCATTTCATTTTAGGGTGGGCTATCCCTGTATTTTCCTATATTTTGTGTTCATAAATTGGATACCACAGTCTTGGTGTTAAAAAATGAATAATTTTATTCTTTTTTTAATTAACAGAAGTGCTTCACTGCTTTAACATCTTAAACTTTTTTGTTTGCCCAAGTCAAGTCATGTGGTGCATAAAACAGGAAATTATATCATAAAGAGGAACCTGGCAGACCCTCATGACTGTGTGTAAAGGTCAATAAGTTTCTTAAAATATCAAATAACTTGACCTTTTATCACAAGGCAGGTTAGTTTGTGTTATAAAATATCATGTGCTGTCACCAAAAATGTAATATTTATAATTAATGCTTCAAGATATTTAAAAAAAACTAATCTTGAAAAAAAAGAATCCTAAAACAATCTTGAAAACATTTGGTTAAAATCATTAAGTGGTTAAAATCACCATGAACTCAATTCACAATTCTATTTTTTAAATTGCTTTTTAAAAAAAAATTTTTTTATTCATGTGCCCCTGTAATGTTAAATCAAAACACAAACATCTCATCTCTAATGACTTGTGCACCAGTGTGAGGACGGGACAATAATCCATCTCATCCAGTGATCTGTCACTCACATGAAACTGCAGCAATTTGCAAACGAAAAGGATCAAACGATCCAATCAATTTCCAGTGGACAAAATCAAAACCCTCCATTCAGTTTACAGTTTTACTTGGTTATACTTATGAAATGTCTGTTTCATGTTGAATTTAAGATATGTACATTTTTCAAAACCATATGAAACAAACATGAATTCAAAAAGAGATTTTGCCACATGTTTTGGACTATATTTTTGATGTATTTAAAACTACAACAGCATAATAAAATACCTTCTCTTGTCCCACCAAACAGCCTCAAACCCACGCGTCTGCAATGCAGCCATGATGACGTTCACATCATAGTTGCCATTTCCCAGCATGTTTTTCTTGTGGGGCGTTACCAAAGTGCTAGGGGAGAGCCTGAAAAAGAAAGAGGAAGCAGAAGTGTGCCCCAAAAAAATTCCAAAATTAGATCACCTCAGTAACAATACATAATCTTAGCACTGACCTCTGGTAGATGTCCTGAAGTGCATCACGGCTGAAGGCCGCTCCGTCCTGGAAGACATTGTTTAGGGCGTGCAGAGCGCACAGCTCCCGATGCTGCTTTTCATGATAAATGGTGGGAGGTTGTGAAGAGGTGGGGGGCGTTCCAGCATTCAGCCTATCCTCTAGCTCGGACCCGCGTCCACCGATGGCTTCTCCTTTCTGCTTGCTGACCTTCCATGGCATACAGCCCAGCTCCTGAAACCCCCCGACCCCCCTCCCCTTACCAGAACATGGAGTACTCCCCATTCCTGCTGCTATGTCACCACTATCATCTCCACAGCAACCTCTCAGCTGCTTGGGATGAGTGGCAAGGGGAGGGGAGGTAGCTACTGGAGTGAAAGGCGAGCCAAGCGCACCTTGCAGTGAATCAGTGAAAAGAACAAAAACACAAGTGGAAACCGATGGATCTTCTCAGAAGCAGATTCGATTGTGTCCTCTTTCTGTGCTCTTCATGTTGTTATTGCACAAAGACTTGCCAAGCACCATAGTAACCACTAGGGCAGAGCAGTTCTTTCCATTTTGGCCGACCTCAGGGTGGAAAAGACTTACAGCATGACTTGTACAGCTGACTGGGACTAAATGGGTCAGCAGTGCAGGACCCTGGCAATTGCCATAGTAGACCACCGTGAGAACCGCAGAGATAACCTTGGCGAAAACAAACACAACAAGAGAGGGATTATAAATCAGATAATTAAAACAAAACAGCTAATGCTTCAATCCTGAACATTAATTAGGGTTTAACCGAGTGGCAAGTCTAAACACGAACCCTTTTGACACCTACGGCTAATGTGCAGTTGTGCCCAGGATGACTGCATTGGGAATGTCTGTACAAAACTTCCTGCCAGCTGACTGGATGGGTGTTTATGACTTATTCACGGACGGAAATGATATTTAACACTTCGTACACAAGTTTAATACGATAACTTAAGGCATGCCGTATTTTTGTTTGGTCTTCTGAACTACTGCGTTCAGACCAATTTGACACTCTGGCTACGTGCTACTCGTTTGATAGCAACGGACAAAATGACACCTTTCAAATTGTCAGTGTACTCCTTCCTAGCACTTACCTGTCTGTATACGATATGTTACAGGCTCGGCTGCTTTCGTTCCTCTAACTTGGCGTTTTCGCGTCCACTCCTTGAGTTGTTTATTCCTTTGTCTCTTGTACTTTTTCCTTGCAGCTCTCTGGCTCAACCTGAGCATGCGCAAAACGTCATTGGCTTTCCGCTTGCTTGCGTCACGAGCAGGTTTCATCCCATGGGACTGTCAAACACGTCTCGGTCGCCCACATTAGGAAATTAAGAAGAGACTTCCTATTTCTTTTTGGAGACATTAATTTTCCAAATTATTTTTCCCCCCGATCATTTTTTTCCGGTGTAGGGTCTGTTCTGTGCTGTATAAACAGCCCTCTAGCTCAGTGCTTTATTGCTTTAGCAGAAAATAAAATCCAGACATGTACATTTAGATCTGCTGTAATTTCAAACATCTGTGGCAAATGAGTTGTCGACCTTCTGTTTGTTTTCATTTTTTGCTAATAAGAATGCAAATGACAATACCTGATTACTTCATTCCAGGTGTTATGGAAACCCACAAACTACTAGTAAACTGTTTTAGTTGTTTAACAAAATAAGTATCAGATATTTTCTCATGCCTAGGGTGGAGACAGAATTTGTATTTTTCTTCCCACTATTTCTACACTGATTATGAAGTAAAATGTATTTAGAGTATTAGACAAACTAGTTGCTCAACCCAAATGTTTACTAAACATACAAGCAAGAATGGATTTGTAGAATTACATTCATAATAGGCTTTCAATTTATCAGGCATAAATTCTGTAATCTACATTACCAACCTCCAAAGTATCAATGGACAACATTAAGAAAATTTTCCATACTAATTCAAGTTAAACCAGTGTTTGATAAAATGTCCTCCTTTATTACCATGTATTAAATTATGCCAATGCTGGTGAGGCTTAAGAAAAAATGAGGAATAAAGCTTATTACAAAACTTGAATTTTGTAGTTTTAACAGTAGCATTTAACGTCCTTATTTCAACTCATTTGCTTGCTATTCTTTAAACATTTGCTCTTTATTCCTCATTTTTTCTTAAGCCTCACCAGCATTGGCATAATTTAATTATCCATTATGACAACAGTCACAATGCTGAACGGAATTTTGCTCTAAAGAGCAAATGTTTAAAGAATAGCAAGCAAATGAGTTGAAATAAGGACGTTAAATGCTACTGTTAAAACTACAAAATTCAAGTTTTGTAATAAGCTTTATTCCTCATTTTTTCTTAAGCCTCACCAGCATTGGCATAATTTAATTATCCATTATGACAACAGTCACAATGCTGAACGGAATTTTGCTCTAGACAGGAAAGTCATTTAGAATGTGCAGAAATACAAATCTTTCTGTATTTATTCTATGAACAAGTATGTAATCAAGGTGTCAAGGTTTTATTCTCCGCCAAATATGGGCAAGGCCTTAAGAACTTTTATTTGGAGAGGTGCATGGTCAGGGCATCTATAAGCTCCTGTTTCTTGGTTCCTGTTGTACGTATTCCAAACTGCTTGCATGCATCTTTTAGCACAGGCACTGTCAGTTTTCCCAAGGTGCACTTTGCCACATGGTTTTTCAGCTCTTCCTCGGACATCTCAACTTTTGCCTTCTTTTCAGCAGCACCACCACCAGATTCAGCTGGGCAAAAAGAAAGAGACAACTCAAGTCAAGATTCTGTCACTATCAACTTTGAACGTTTCTGAATGTAGTGGCATTGTAACTAAAACAGGACTGCCAATCAATGGAAGTTAGGAGTAATTTCCGATGCATACTGAACCATGCTGCTATGTCTTTGCAGTATCCCATATTATTATTATGCATTAGGCATGTTAAAAGACAAAAAAAATCCATTTAATATGACTGCATAAATAATAATTATTAATAAAAAATCAAATAAATACATTACTGCTGAAATAATACTATTGTACTGTAAAATAAGTGAGTATCATGATATGAGTATTTGATATTTCATGATAATTTTTATTTTACACACCAGTAAAATTACAGTACAGAGACTAGAGTTTTTTTTAACGACAGATTTATAAATTATTCTCAATACAAATTTGGGAATACGGTTGCGTGTGCTGCATTTTCAAATGCACATTATAAGTGACCCAGCACTTGCAGAAATGGAATTCACTAAATCACTGGATCATGGGCTGCTCGCATGTAAATGAACAGTGCCACACTTCATTTTGAAACACGCAGTGGCCAGCTGGCAACTATCACCATTTAATTTGCTTGCCAACACTGCTTTGTTAATTGTGGACCCAGGCTGAGATTCTAAGAGTGTTCTGCACTGAGCGGTTTGATGGTGCCACTCGGGTGTGCCTCACACGTCCTGAAAAGTGAAGTTGCGGGCTCTTTGATCGCCCTCTGGTGGCTGGCTGCAGTACAGGTCCCCTCTCCATGTAAACAAATGGGACTTGAGTCAAAATAAAAAAATAAATAACAATCCTATACAATTTTCCGAAAGATGGCTTGGTCATTTAAAGTAGTTGTTATCACGCTGATATATGTTCAATTGTTCGTTTTTGTGATAAGTTTGATTTTAGCTAGTAATTTGATGCTATAAAAACGGGGCGTGTCGTTATGGTTGATTGGGTATGCAGGAGTTTGGGCGAGAGTTTGATACAGCGGCTTCACCTCACGACACTACAGCGCAGACTCTGGCTCCAAACGAATCTATACTGCACAGACTCTGGCTCCGAATGACGTCATTTACTCAAGATGGCAGCGGCCATACTGAGATGCTTTGGCTTCACTTTTCTATAGTGGAAGGAAGTGGAGACGCGTCGTCCATCTTTTTTTACAGTCTTATGGTGCCACTAGCTTGTGCAGTGCTGTCGGAAACTATCCATACAAGAAATAAATGTATTTGAAAATGCAGCGGTTTTTCATGTTTTTTTTTTTATCAGCTCAAATACCGAAAATTACACCCCTGACTCATGCTTTACATTAATGTAAGACCATTTGAAATCTCACCAGTTTTACGTTTAGCTGCAGGCTTCCCTTCTGGGTTATAATCAGGAGGATAGACTAAATCTTTGAACTCCTGAGCCAGTGGACCAAGACGAGCATCCATCATTTGTACCTTGGGCACTGAGGGAACACACAGACAGTAATAAAATTAAAATAGAACAATTATCCATTAAAAACATTTCGGATCTCAAGAAATACTTGTTAAATCCTCAATGGGCTCGGGTTCAAGCATATTCAGAGCCAAAGCCTCCAGGTTCCTGTAGTGCTGTTGTAGCACTGGGTTTTCAAATGCATCACTCCTATAAAAACATAAGATTTACAGTACAAATTAACTACAACTCCATAACTGAAGAATGCACTGGGCACAACTTGTAGAAAACCACACACTTGTATTTAAAGCGGAGCTTGTGCACAATCTCTTTCATCTTGTCCACCTGCTCATCAGAGGCTGTGGGGCCCACGTGAGCATCCACAGTGCGTATGTCATCAGCAAAGGGAAGAAATATCACATGGAAGCCTAAAATATAGGATCCCACAATTTAATATTACTATTTGATATATATAAAAAGATCAATTAGCCATACAGTTGAAAGTAACGTTCAGTGTAAATGAAAATTTTTCAGTCTTGATTGCAGTTACCTGGAGGTGTCGCCTGAGTTTGACTCTGATCCAGTTCTTCTCTCTGTGGAACTAGTGCCACAAACCGAGGTGGAGTGTTACGACGAGGAATGTATCTGCACAATGCAAATAAATTTTTTTCACTGCAATTCAAAAGCAGAGCTGTAAACATACAGGAGCTTCCTAGGGTAAACAAAAGAAAGAGAACTGCACATCAGCTTTCCAAAATGAGAAAAAGATCAGTTCATAAAACAACTGGATTGAACTGAAGGAGGTGCTTAGGCTTAAGACCTCAGCAAATGAAGACCTGCCTGATATCTGCTCTTCCTCAGGGTATATGAAGAGCGCGGGCCGTATATGATGGTGCAGTTTGAGACGGTCCATGGGCTTAAACCCCATCAGAACCAAACCTGGATCATCAAACTTCTTAATCTCATCCACCTCATCCTTTTCCATCACAATCTGTTTCTTCCCATAAACCTTCATAGAAAGTAGTCAATTTTGTATGATAAGAAAATATGGTAACTTTTAGATAAAAGGGACACAAAGAGCAAATTACAGTATAGCTTTGTGATAGTATTGATTCTGATTACCTGTGCCCTCTTCATATCATTTGGCAAAAGTATCCCCCCATTATGGGCATGGAAGTAACGGGTTTTAGTGCGCACTGGTTCGTTAGTATCTCTGTGAAGCTTGACAGCAGAAGGTTTGGTGGCAGTCCTGGCCAACACATACACACCGACTGCCAGATTGACACCTTCTCCGAGAGAGAAAGTTAACCTTGAACACAATGAAAAAGTATATCTAAATCTAAGAACTGCATTCTGGAACTATGGTCAAGTAAAGTGAAACTTTGCATAAATATTGCAAAACTCAATGTTAAATTTTTTTTTTTTAATAGGGATGCACTGATGTATCGACCGATAAAAGCATCTGCACCAGATGGCCGATTGTTTAAAAACAGCCGACAATCAGGGCCGATTATATCCTGTAAATCAAAAGGGGTGGAAAAACGTGGAAAACGTGCAACTTGTGTGTAGAAATAGTCTCAATCAGTATTTCAACCAGAGAAAGACATTAATAAATAGCTTGTGAACAATGTCACTTAACATTGCATTTACCTCAGGAACGTTATAAAGTGTTCCTAGTTGGTTAGTTAGATATATAAATATATAAAAAAAACTACAGAGGAGCTTATTTACTATTAAAGGGGTCATATGATGTTGCTAAAAAGAACATTATTTTGTGTATTTGGTGTAATGAAATTTTACAGTTTAAGGTTAAAAAAACACATTATTTTCCACATACTGTACATTATTGTTTCTCCTCTATGCCCCGCCTTTCTGAAACGCGTT